CAACATATTTGTTCAGTTAGGAAGTTATAAAACTGTTTGTTCTATCAATAGCCGCTGGTTTCGTACGTTTATTTATTTTTGAAATTCTAAAAACGGATGCGTCAACGTCATTTGAATACTAAAAGTGCATTTTTTTTAAATCCAGTCGCAAGTCCAAATCAGTTTGTTATTGTCATCTCGTTCTTACATTACTATTGAGTACAGTGTGAATGAGATGGATAGTTTGCAGGAAGCTATTCAAAAAAAGAACAACCCTTCCTCACCCTTTCGGGACATTCTATTGTTTACGTTAAATCGAAACGTCATAGGTTATTTGCCAGAGCTTAAATATTGAACTCAAACATTATAATCTTAAAGTTTATTTTATTCTGTCAACGGTAGTGCGATAGTTTACTTTGGATTGGTGGAGGAATTAATAAAATTCAAATTGTTTTTTTTTCTTTGTTCGAATATTCTCAGAACAGGTAGCTGGCCAGTGTTTTGATTGGACATAATAATGATGAGTAGGTATTTCTATAAGTCGTCGTGTTTGTCTATGCCAATAATAATTATTTCTTTTCGGTGTAATTTATGCAAATACTTGTAAGAACAACGACCTTTGTGATCTCCGGGTGTCGCTAGCAGTAACACAAGTTCTGATACGACGTCGGTAACATTAGATTGGACCTTAGATCCACAAATAAGTAGAAAGGTTCTTATTCAGTTGCGGGCAGTTATTAACATTGATATCTTCGTCGGCAGGTATTCATAGTTATTGCATGTGACATAAAAATGGTGAATATGTATAAAAACGTCACTAGCTTCCAACCCGATCACGTTTGCGTATTGTTTACTGGTGGATGCATGGGCGCATCCGGCGTCGTCGATCGCGTATAAATAAGATTTTTTACGCACCTTTCACTTCCGACCTGTGCGGGCAGGTATCACACACTCACAAGGGCCTGATAACCAGCCACCACATTATTTGGCAGCTGTTTCATAAAATATACACAGATTACATTTCCTGGTGCATCCTTTCTTCTTGTACATCCATGGGAAAGTTGCTCTCACGGGGTCAGCTTTATTGAGAATCGATACTTTGGTACAATATTGTTCATTGAGGTCCGAAGAAGGAAGCTGTGAGGTTCGAGTTGTTTAATAAAGTCTGATTTGGTGAGTCACGGGCCAGTCATTAGCCTCTGTGTGGATGTGGGTACAGATACCGCGACAAACAGATTCTGTAATGAAGACGTGACACTCGTAGGCAATGTCGCCCGCGGGTTGCGACCTATTTCCTCGTTACATTCGCAACGATTTCTTGAAATTTTGGAAATATAAATGTAAATCTATTTGTATAGACGTGTATTTATTTGGGTCGCGACCGAATTTTGATAGAGAATATTAAATAGTGAACGTCAGAGATGAGAGAGTACGACAATTATTAATTGTATTGTGTAGTACCGACGATAAATTCACAATCCGTACCGATTACTTATTTCGCTCAATTGATGGGCAGATCTTTTCTAATTCTCGACTAATCTATCGCAGACACGAGTAATTAATCATAAACTGAACTGGTTTTAATATGGAAACTGTGTGTTGTCTGCGAGCGCCATAGAGCTCCAATCGTTTTTTTTTTACAACAGGTTTTATCAAAGCTTATAGTCATTTAGGTATGCAGCACCTACGATGGCCACATAATGTATTGTTATAATTTAGCACGTGTAATAAGAGACAGGTAACGCGATGCAACTCCATAGTCGGAAGCGCGGGCATCGAACCCGCGCTACTGCGAACCGGAGTGATGAGCGAGCGATTCGTGTGTTTTGATGACAATACGTGTAATGTAATGCTGCCATGTTGTTGTAATATCGAGACACATACCGTACAAGGGCCGGCAGGACGTTACAACATTTATTTTCCGTTTAGTTGACGCGAATATTGACTTGTGTATGCTATACGCTAACACTTGCCGTCGGCTGTGTAAAATCATTTAATGCCTGTAATAAAGGAATAATAAAAAATTAATTCCATATTACCAATTTTCTATTCTGCTATGCTTTCAAGGAAAACAATTAGTTTGCTGTGGTCAGTATCCATCAGTCGCGATGTAAAACGGCTAAACATTGTCGAGTCCGTAAAGAGTAACAAACAACTCTTTGTTCCTAAAATGCGAATCCTTAACCAGTCGCTTGTCATATCAGTTAAAAAGAGGACAGCTCTAAATTTAGCGCAGCCAATAATATATTGCGCCTGAATATAATATACAGCCGTAGGTACTATGTAATATATGCACAATTATGCACATTTGTGTTTTCCGTGATGTGTCAATGACCTTTATTGATGTTAGTGCAGTGCGCACGACTGGACGTGCCACCGCCGAGAGAATTTCAGCTGATGCATCATCTACTGTCGCACCTACCTACTCGTAGGTACATTGTTTACGAAAGAATTGCTTACAACCGCGCTACTAGCTCGAATTATGTCATTTCAAGTTTTTATATGCATCGTCCAACCATTGATGAATTTGGTTTGAATGTCATTTTCTTACAATTTTCAGGTGAATATTTAATAGAATTTGGTTGAAACATCGCGTAGTAGGCAATAGTAAACAGTGGCAGTACAATAAGCCATTGTTTAGAAGAATGCTGCCGGCTTAATGTGTGCGCGCCGCGGATTCTGTGTATGTATTCTCACGACACTTGCTACAATGGGTACAGCAGAATGTGCTACTGAAGTTTCGGTAGCTCTAAGGCAATTGTCTGTCTCAGTAATTTCTCCGAATCTTATACATGGCCGCCGCGAAACGAAGCTAACAACTAGCAGGAGCTGGGTAGTAATTGAGTTGAACAGTTATTGTAAGATGTTGTTCGAACATCCTTAATTAGAATTTAAAACATTTTTAGATCAAGTGTTTCAAAGTAATACCTAGTTCTAGGTAACTGAAATTGTTACAAGCAACTTTGTTTTAGATATTGTGAGGATGTTCCATGGAAACAAGTTGTTTACCCGAGTAGACCTAGACTTGGAAGAAGCCAAACCGGCCTGAGTTAGGTAATTAGCTCTTTGATAATTATTCTAGATGATAATGATAAGGAATATTGCTATGTAATAATGTAGCATATAATATAGGAAGGAACAGCAGTTATATGCTGTAATGAGCGCCGGTTCCTTTGAACAAGGAACCTTTAAAGGAAGGGAAAATGTTCGCTGGAGAGATGATTCATGTAATCATGTGTTACGGGCCTTCAACCAGCCAATATGGAAGCCATGTGTGACGAAATATGTCTAGAAAATTGTTGGTGAACAATCAACTATAAACATAAATAAATAAGTGCTAATTTGTATTACAAGGAAAGACACTGTTGAAATTATAGGTTCAGTATATTACTTCGACCCTATATGGCAGGGATAAAGAGCAGTCCAACAAATACTTTGTTGGGGAACATATAACGTCGAAACATCGTCGGTACATCGAGTAAATCAAGGCTGAAGTTACGACCTAGCCCAAAAGTTAGTGAACAAGACGTAACATGCGGCTGGCAGACATTTTGTTACATAACAGGAGGCTAACAGAAACATGTCTGGCAGAATTGTAAAATGTTAGAAGCGAGCGTGGTGTCCGCAGGCGCGGTGAGCCTCGTCTGGCGCAAATTGCCTCTGTAAGCTGCCTGAAACCATTACATGCGTACAGATACGTCCATTAGGACCTATGTCAACCTAGGCCTATGTCTCCGTTGACTTACTCGACATTTTCATACGTGGTTTAGTTATAAAACATATATCAGGCATATATAGAAGTGGATAAAGGACTGGTAGACTTTTCATTTGTCCAGTTTTGTTAAATTTTTAGGTTTGATCGGGAACGATGAGACGATTCCCAATTATATTATATACTTTACCCGACATAAGAATTGAAATAGTTATCTCACGCAGCAATAATTAAAAGCCCTTGATGTAGTGCAAGTACACACATACATACATACATAATAATTACATTCATATATTTGAGTTAGAAAGACAGAGCACACATTGAGCTTAATACTGCTCACAACAAGTGTGACAAATGGTAACAAGTCAGTCATAATATTTCAAGTACAGATAATTTGAAATGACATTAAACAGTGAATTATAGAGAATAGATTTATATGTAATTGTAAAGTATAACAGGAGCATACTGGCGGACATTAATTACCGCAGGACGTGGTCACTAAAGCTAATAGTTAGGTACACGGAAATACCCAAATCGAATGTATCCTTATTTATTTACGAGGTAAGATAACTGTTCCGATTCTTACAAATATGTTTGTGCTACAAACGAACCAAATCGGAAAATATCTCCATCTTCATGGAGAAAGTTACTCAGCTTGTAATACTGTATAATAGTAGGTAATTGTGTCCATTTACTATTACACAATATTAAATGTGTTGCAGTGGATATAAAGAAATTGTAGAACAATAAATAGTGTGTGCGTATTGTAAATAGATGCGGTACAGATGTGTAATTGCGGCCACCCCCGCCCTACGCGCTGCATGTTGGGCTAGGTCAGGGCGGTACACGGCCCATACATATTTATACACATACATTCATACAATCGCACTATTTACACTATGCGTATCACTTCAATGTAAATTGTATGCAAACTGATGTCGTAGCAAGGGCCGCGTAGCAACCCGTAGCCGTCGCTACGACCGTAGCACGTAGCACTTTCTTTCATACATGACGTAGCAAATTGCGGAAAATATTTTTATTGACTCTATACGTTATGTTAATGTAATATTATTTAAATAATACAACAATAACAAGTGTTCAAGTTCAAAGATATATGTATTTAAATTATTCCCGAGTATTTAAATTAATATTTGGTTTATGATTACAGAAATTTTTGTATCACTCTATTTTAATTGTTTCTAGGTGTACCGGTTATCAGTTATAAGCCTGTAATTAATGTGTAGTTGCATACAATGTACATAGAACATTCCCGGCGCGGGGTCAGTACAGATGTATAGAGAGCACTTACTGTATCTCTTCATGAGCGACTTCTTGTATGCTTTCCCTGAGATAGCATCATCGCCAGGGCTGAGGCGTCCGGTGGAGTCATCCGATTCCGTGCCAGAGTCTCTGCCGGACGCCAGGTAGTCCTGCGACTGCCTCAGGATCATCTGAGTCCTCACATAGTCTGAAGGGTCCGCGAACGAGCGACGCGCGAATTCGCAAACAGAAATCTCTTTGCGTACAGTCAAGTCTAATGGGGCATCGTCTTCCTCTGGTTCTGGTTTCGGAGAAGCTGGTTCCTCAGGATAAGCCTTCCTAGCAGCCAAGGTGCGAGGCTCGTTATCGGCGCTGAGCGCTCTACGGTCGGCGGCCGGTGACCGGCGTGTCTCCGGGCCGGCACTCGCCGGACGAACTTCCACAGCCATCATATTTAATTATTATCACCAAACACCATAATCACAAGCCCACAGTTTGCAGTTATGTCATAGAGCGTAATGTGTTGTGTTGCAACCGCGCGCCGCGTCCGCCGGCGTTCGCGTCGTATTACGGACTGATGTCCCAGTTTCGACGATGAGTTCCACTGACTTCGTGAGCTCGCTTCGGGCGCGCTCGGCGGCGCTCGGACACTTTCGTTTTCGTACGCGCGCGGTAGTGTACGCGCCGCACACAGATGCCCGCCACACAGACGCACGCTGAGCGTGTGTGCGCCGCCCCGCCGCCTGTGTCTGTGTGCTGCCAAAGCTTTTTCCACTTTCGTGTCGGAGCTTTCCTTCATTTCCCGAGTTACCCAACAGGTTTTCACTGTTTAGCAGACTTGATTAATTAGCGTCACTCGTTCGTCGCGGAGCTCGTTTGAGAGCGATTGTGTTCAGGTAACGAATTTATGAGGGAAATTATATTAGGTATTCATATTTGTTAAATTTTTCTTTGACCTAGGGCAGGAGCTATGGATATTGGAAAATGTAGTCCTACATTTTTATTATTAATATCTTATCATTATCATTTTACTTTTTAATTAAGAAATTATATAATATAATATAAAATTAAAATTTCTTTTTACATGTATCAGGATTGAATGAAAATAAAGATACACAGTACAGCTATTACATTAAAATGATATTATTTCACAGATCATGAGTTAAATAACAATTTATAATATTTATCACGAACCGGAACGGTTGGACAATCAGCGATGTTTTGCGTAACACACCGCGTAAACAAATTGTGTGTTTTTTTATCTAACGCTCGGGGCATTGACCGACTTTACAAATAAAGTTGCGCGCGCGGCGACCACGTGACACACTGACATCGCCAGCCACACTTGAGCCACCGCGCCGCGCGACATCTACGCGAGTGAGGGCCAGCGCGGGAATGTATGAGTAGTAGTGCGGTGTCAACATATACTTGTTGTTAGTAGATAGGATAGTGCCTACTATGAATTTAGAGCCAATGTCACACGTTCGTCCTAAACAGATAAATGTTGGCTTTTAGCAACGTGGAAGTGTGGCGCATTATTTTGGCATAATTATACAGTTGCGCCTGAGTGACACTGCGTCCGCGCAGGGAACTGTTGTCGTATGCTATTTTAGTAAATGTTACATTGCATTGTTATGATTATTTAAATTTAAACTGGTACAATACTAACACGTTGAGTAAGAACAATTCGTTGATTAGTAAATTATATTATGAAGTATGTATTGAAATTCGTGTTGAATATAAAGTTTTGCTTATATAGTTGCCTTAGCCTATGGTATCGTTTCCGTATAGCGATACTGTGCAAATTCCAGTAAGATAGTCGTAATTGTATTCATTAATTAACGTGTACTTGTGAACTCGTGATCACACCACTAAGTAGAAGGGAAGCGTTCAAAGACTCATTGTTTAGGATCTATATTACTTGTCAGGTTGACCATATTACACATACATATTATGTACATGCAACATATTTTTTTTAATACTAAAAGGTAATCAAGTATTATATTATCAAGGTTATGATGCAGTACAAATTTTATCATATTTCATTCACCAGTTTCTGAGTTACAAACATGCAATCTTATCCACAAAAAGAAATTATTACGTTGGAAAAATTCAATGTTACATTTTCATGGTAACAAATGACCCACATTAAAATTGCATGTTTACAAAACTCCTTCCAATTTGTGACTAAGAGATTGACTGAAATAATACCAAAAATCTTGTAATTTCTTTAGAAACGCAAAGGAGAGTGAGTATGAGGATTATTATTCCAAAATTAAAATTGTTAATGACAAAAGTGACATTGAACAGTTTAATTTAACTGTCAAAATTGATATTATATGTAAACAATCTGACATTGTCAACTTCTAAATTTGCATTTTGATTTTTTTTTAAGTTTTAATATTTACAACATAAATATAATCTAATATTATATATATAAGAATAGATAGGAAATAAAAAAAATAAAAATAAATTATGCTTATGAAGTCGCGAACAAACGCTAGTTTTAATATAAACATTAGATACACGTGTGTCGCGTGATACTACAACAAAAAAAAAGATAAAAAATTAGATAAACTTTATTTCAAACAACGTATGAGGAAGTACATACTATATGTGTGTCTACATAGAAATATAGTAGTTTCGCACACTTACTGATAACTCACATTGAGATATAAACAGATTCATTTCTTGAGATAATAATCTAATAAACGTGACTTAAAGACTTACGAGGAAAAAATGAATGAGATATGGATTTTCCTATTCCTTTATATAACTTTCATACATTTCTACATGCAATATTCCATCAACGAATGACTACAGTCCTTTCAAAATTCACAAACTCGATAATACCTTTTCCCGTTTTAGGCATCGAAACTATGACCTTGTAGTCAGTAGCACACACTAGTACAATGAGCCACTGATACGAATTTCTTTTATACAATTTAACAAAAACAACAATGATGATAAGAATATTTTGCGCACTCATAGGCTTATAGATATTATTCAACAGTTACTCATATAGTTGGATATATAATTATTTATTGATCATAGTTTGATACCCCCGCTATAATACTTATCACGCTACTTTTTAATAAACTGTCAAAAACTTTGTAGACAACTTTTTACAAACAGTCTAAGCCAACGTTACTCAAATGATTTCGAAAAAAGCACAAACCATGACCTGGATTAACATAAATCTTTCAACAAAACCCAGGAATAAGTGCTATATTTATCTATATATTTAGATATATAAACTAAAGTCGTGTTAGTTACACCATTTATAACTCAACAACAGCTAAACCGATTTGGCTGAAAACCAGCTTAGAATCAGGAGACGGACGTAGGATACTTTTTATTCAAGGATTTCATGACAATTTTGCAGGAACGGGAAAAAACGTATTACCCGTACGTAGACGCGGGTAGAAACTAGTTCTTAGATAAATTAGTACTTAAAAGTTAAAACAAGAGCCGTGTTGATCGGAACTCGAACACGCGCAGTAAGTAAAGATGACGCGTCGACCTACTTGCCGACACTCCATTGATAACTAAACAAAATATTGAATGAGATTTAAATACACAATACGAGACCTCATTTAAAACCTTTTAATATGAATAAGACATATTTATATACCTTTTATTTAGTCATAATGTAGTATTTTTATAACATAATGATACTTTTTGTAACTTTTATTGTTACGCCTGAATGAAATCCCTAAATGTGTGCCATTAAAAAATATTGACATTTTGTTTCCTTTGATTGGTACTTTTTAGTCCTATTATCATAAACATGGTTATTAAGTAGAAAGTCTTCATGATCTTTATTTTTATATACTTTCCTACTTTATTAGAATACCTTGCTGACGAAAGAAATAGATCAGGTACACTAAAAATATCTTGTGTAAGTTCATGGGTGTGTTTCCAAACAAAAAATGTGAACGGAATCTGTAGGTCATACAAATATTTGCTCGGAACAGGAATATAACCTACGTGAACAAATATCTCTATAGATAAAGATAGTAACACTGTTTCCAGCTCACGTGATGATTTTATTATCAATAAGGTACCTTATAGTACTTTTGGCCTCTACTCAGGGTCTTAGGGACCTTTATGAGACTAATAACATAATCTGTGAAGAAGGGCTGTAGTACTCCCTTACCTCATGGGAAATAATAGACGAGTTAACATAATATTACGCCATTATATACCAAACAGGTTATTCCCAAAGAATCAGCATGTGTAAAGAAACTCGGTGTGTTTAAATCCTCTTTGAAAGGGGTGTCGATTCGTTTGTTAACCTCAGGATTAAGAAGGCATCACTTCATAATCTTGTTGCCAGTAATTAAATGCAGACGTTATTAGTCAGGTCGCCATGTCATACACACATACAAAGCATTTGTCATAGATATATTTATTCACAGTGAACGATAACTTGCAATAAAATAACTTGTACAGTTGTAAGCTGAATCTAAGATGGCGGTTGTTATCAGTCGCAGGTCGGGGGTCCCTATCATATCACAGATCGGCCGGCCATCGACCCGGCTTATGTAACGACTTATACTTGTAATCATTTGTTTTCGTCATTTTATAACTGCTCTAACTACTTTCCTGTTTTAACTGTCATTAGTTTAGCGGGAATTAAGGTGTGAAGGAAAATAATAAATCGTTAAATTAAACTGTGATAAGGTAATGGTTGTGTTACCCCGTTCGTGTGTACCTGCCTGTTGATGCGTAACCCATTTATTGATTTATGTTTCTGTCGGGATTGTATCGACGAGGCTGATAGCAAATGTTCCAGTAACGTAGTATTGCGAATGTAATGGTAATGTAATAATATATAAAATCATGTACCCACTGTCCCTGTTTATAGATATATGAAGTATTGCTTGCTATAGATATAACAATATAAATAGTTTAGTCTACAGTTTTCAGTTAACTTTCCCCAATAAATGTAGTCTCATAAAAAAGAAACATTTAGACTAGCTCCCTTATTTCCCTTACAAGTAATATTCAGCAGATACACACACATGTACATGTAGCTAGAATGTTCACACGTCTAGATATAAAACGCGTCTCTCGAAGGATTCCTTTACAAAGTAATATCAATCAAAGGGAACGTCTGTCGGAGCCTACAATCAGTCACAGATGATAACACTAAAAGATTGGCTACACTCGACTGGCGCTCGAACCTTGCTCAAATGTCCCAGCCTTCCGATATGTCGCCTATATTTCAGCTCTCATACACGGTTAGCTCTGAAAAGTTATTGCGACGGCCCGACTTAGTACCTAAGATAACCTAGGGCCTGAATTATTCAATAACTTTTTGTGTACGCTCAAGGAGAAAAATCCAATAAATAGTATTGGAGTAGACTAATTTGATTCTGATTCCTATAAGATAACCGGCGGTATAATAAGACATGGAATATGCAACTTCAGTGGTGTTCCCTCAGGG